TTCTCGCTGGCGTAGAATTGGGTTTCAAAGGTATCCCGTTCTTCTTTGAGTTGGATCCAGGATTTCTGTAGCTCCTCAAAATCAGTTGGCATGTCAGGATGAAGAACAATGTAAGGAGTGTCTCCTTCAATAATTGGCTCCACAATCACAGGTAAGACGACGGGGTAAGGCATCATAAGACATTGAGAACAAGCTCGCACCTATTTGAGGTAAGGCTCAAGAGGGATGGAATTCTTGTGCCCCAGTGTCTTGCTATCAACTCTATTTATCATGCCCCAAGCTCGAATGAACCTCTTGCGATAACCCTGAACATCATTCTCATAGTCAAATGTGATTCCTTGGACGGGTGTGTCGTGAGGACCATCCCTTCTAGCATAACCAAATTGTCGCAACGCCAAATAAGGATTATAAGTGATTCCTCCCCTAATGCCTAAGAGAGGGACATTAGGGAATTCCCTACAGCGATCAATGATAGTGATACTCTCCAAGGATCGGGAACACCAATGAATATTCGAATGTGTAAGGGACATCAGCCTATGAGACCATCTCATACCCTGCTCCTATTTCAAAATAGACCGGGGTAGGTGCCATATAAACCACCTAGCCAATGGAGGAATGCAACATTGAAGGGTCTCTCTTCTCTTTAGAGTGTAAGTATGTAGAGAGTGTAGAATATCCCCAAGTAAAGTAGGTACCAGATTATGAGACATAAATTTTTTAATCGCATTCACATATATGAGTTGGTCCATGTTAGGGAATAATACCATCCCATAGACGAGAAGGGCCAACACCTCCTAAAAAACTTGTAAATCCAGGCTATCCCAAAAATAGAGGGCTCCCTTAAATAGAAACTTAGCTGGAAATCCTTGGACACTTCTTCTGGTTTCCCAATTTGCCAATACATCAGACTGTTGTAAAGACAGAGATGGAGCATTCTCTTCAGGCTTTGGGTTTCTTTTCTTATCATTGAATGGTAGCTGATTAAGGATAGGTACCACCAATAACTGAGAAAACTCCTCCATAGCGGGCACTAACTGGTAATCAGGAAAAGTGAAGCAGTGGTGCAACGGGTCAAAGAACTGAAAGAGAACCTTTAACATTTCTTCATCAAGGGTTGAAGTGACCAAGATGAGAAGTCGACCATGTTTTTCCAGTGAAGGGAGAGCTTTCAGAAATCCTTGATGCCAACTCTTTGAGTTGAGGATGCACTTTCACAAGGTTGATTTGGACAGTGTTCCTACGAGCGGATGTCATGTCCTATAAAACAAAACAAAGATAAGCCCTAGAAAATCCTTGAAATAGTTAGTATGATATTCCATATTATGATGTCATGATTATGCTAAGAAATCACATATACAGCAAGCACAAGCAAATCACACCAAAACCTTAGGTTTAAGGCTTGCATGGGTTTTAAGGTCATACCCTCTTGAAGTTGGATTGGTTCAACTTGTCCTATAAATAGTAACCGAGTTCTAAGGGATCTCAATATCATTGACCTTTCCCACAAGCTTCGTTCGATAGGCGACTGACTCGCAACCAAAAAAAACTCAGGAGTCAATTCTTAATAAGTGTAGCATCGAGTATCTACTGACTTTGGGAATACACCAAAGATGGCCATCTCGCTACGTCCTAATGGCCAAGTTGTTCATTTAAAGGTTCTAAGGTCAGTTGACGCTTTATGACACCATGCAGCGGCCCCGTATTCTCCTTGATTAACTCAAGGGCTACCGATACCAACCAAAGTGTGCATCAACGTAGCCATCGCTTCAACCGTGTTGGTATACCCCGCACAATTTCCACGATCTATTGCTACTTACCTAAAAGGTTTCCCCAGATCCGGGTGTAGGACCTATAATAACCCAAACAACCCCTTAAAAGTAAAGCAAACAAACAAGCAAACAATTTAGAAATGATCTAGACCCTAAGGTAAACCCCACTTTTATTATTTTTCCCAACAGATTCGCCAGTTCTGTGATACGGTGGCAGAACCGACTGTTAATACTGGTTTGTGTTTTTTGTTTGCAAATGTCGCGGTAAGCAAGAGTCGCCACCGACTTTTCTTTTATCCAACAAAGGAAAGGGTGAAAAAACAAAAAAAGACCTTTTTCAAGATTTTCTGAGTAAGTGGGGTAGATTATGGAAAGGGAAGGTATTAACACCCTTTCCATCCATGGTTTTCCATGGGCTCTTAGGTACTTGCTCATTTTTTTGAAAACTATTTGTGTTTGTGCGTTTTGAAAGTTTTTGTTTGCTTTATGGTAACTCTTGTATCAGTCTTCAAGAGTGTGATAAAGTGTTTTTTAAAGTAGTTTTTGAAAGTGTATAAGTGTGAAAATTTTGGTTTGAGAAAGTACTTAAGAACCATCTACCTACTCGAAAAAGGACGTTCTTTTCCTCATTTCCTTTAGATAGTGCTATCCTACTATTAGTGAGTAGGTATCCCTATCGTTGGATGTTGAGGGACTATCGAAATGGACGTTATGGTCATTGAAGGCAACATGTAAGGACACCTTAGCATTTTGAAGGGACTGTCATCACATAGGCAACATCGAGGGGACAAGATCATTTACCAAAAGACAACTCGAGGGACGTTTAGGGACCATGATCTTTTATGATAAATTTTATACCGAGGGTCTTTGCTAAGATATCCCTACTTTCGAGGGACATGACCATTTCCGAGACAACCGAGTGAGGAATACCCTAAGGGTGCAAGTGTGTGAAGTGTGTTTTTTCAGTTATATTATCTTGAAGTTAGTGATCTACGATTAATTTGATTAATCTTGTCACGCACTCCTACTTACTAGCAATTATATACAAGCATACAAAAAATGTAAAAAGCGAGAAATAAAGGTTCCTACGCTATTACAGGGTTTTGGTGTAGATACATAATAATGGGCGAAAAGTAAAGTGCAGAATTAAAAATGCGGGGATTTAAGTCCTAAACTATTACAACCGTAAGCAGTTACAATATAATATAAAATGCACGCGCGAAATAAAGAAGCGTCTAACAACCTGAGAAAGGGTATAAGTAAAAAAACTTATTTGTTTAATTTTTGTTTTAATTAATAAAAATAATTAAATTAAACATCCTAAAGTCTATTTAAAAAAAATTAAAATTAATTAAGAAAAATAGTCGAAGTTTTTTTGTTTTTTATTATGAAAAGAAAATAACTAAATCTAATTAAATCCTAAGTTCTACTTCATTTTAAATTAAAGAAAATAGTTAAAATATTTATTTAAATCATTTACAAAATTAGTTTAATTAAAAATACTAACCTAATATTTTTGGTGATTTTTTCTGATTTTTATGGTTAATTAAATAAGTGAAAGCAAAAATTAAAAATAAAATAAAATAAAACAAAACAAATGGGCCTGGGGTTAAGTAATAAACATGGGGGTGTTGTTCTAAAAAAGAACGTTGGGCCCAATAGATAGCCCAGGTTGGCTTTGGATCCTGTGTGGCAGCTTCTGAGCGTCTATGGTAATCAACATGCTTGACACCATTTGATTTAAGCCAAACAGGATCTAATGGACATGACTTGGAGACATATGATACACCCCTGGAGACGTAAAGCATGTAACCTGCATGAGTTTTGTTAGAAAAATATGAAAATGCTGGACCTGAGACTCAAACCCAGGTCCTCTCTCTCATGCACACGTTCCTTTGCCAATTGAGCTACATGTTCATTCGTTTACATAACCAAAACAATAATATAATATGAAAACATTGGTCAATATTTTTAGTATTTAAATAATCAAATATGTTTCAGACCTACCGTAGACCTAATTATTTGTCTAAAGGTGCGTCCACAAAAGGGTTGAGGGTTTAGTGCACCTATAATTATTGGGCCCATACTCGATCCAATTCACAAGCGACTACACCCTTTAGATGTGATCCATCGAACCCCTGCGTTACACGTTTTCTAACGTGTAGTGGTTTTACCTTATCCTATATAAAAGAATCCCATGATAAATTTGCATGTACGTTTTCATCATAACTTGCTCCATTACTTAGATTTACTGAATGTCTTAATCGTTGGAGTGCTAACTTTTGTCGCATATTTCCATCAGTTGAGTTAACTTTTCAATCTCACATCTATCATTTCTGATTCCTTAAAAGAAAAAAATTGTATTAAATTTGAAAATTTTTCATCTTAATCTACCAATCATAAATATTGTGTTGTGATTACCTAATTGAGATAAACGTATCAACAAATTCAATTTTCTTAAATTAGTATTGGCTAGGAGTTTATCAATACTGAGGTTGATGGGTGATAGGTGCATTTAAAGTCATCTTTCTTTAAAAATTTAATTTACTTGCCTCTTTTAGAGGTTTATAGGTTTTCTTTCTGGCTGGCTCTTTTAAAACTAAATAAATGCTACTCCTCTTTATTTCAAAATTTTTAAAGGATATTAATTTTAAAACGGAGGAGGGAGTAATAATGCATTAAAAAACTATCCAAAAAAACAAAAGCAATAAAAATGTGATTAATGAATATTATAGCAAGCTAGTGCATCCATAGTCACACCCGCAGTAAAGCACGGGACTGGCCTCTCCATCTTGCTGTGATTTTGAGGAACCACCAAACCTTACGTTACAATGCCGATTCTCACACGCCAGCTGTTCACAAAACTCTCACAAATCTCTTTTGTTTTTATATACACATTTTTTCCTCACTATTACTTTACTACCATACACTTTCTCCTCACTATCCTCTTTTTTCTTCAGTTTTCAATTTCACCCTCACCTCATTCTCTTTTTTTATTATTATTTATTTCTCAGTAACATGTAATCAAACCTTTACCGGGTATTATTACTTTCGTTATGATTTATTCCTCCTAATCCGTATTGGATTTGATTACTCGATTCCGTTTTTTTGATTTCTCCGATTCAGTTTTTGATTCAATTTTCATTCCAGGGTTTCACTTTAGGTTTTACGGAGCATTACCAAACGGTGCTGATTCGGTTAGATCGATCTCGATTTCCGTGTTAATCGGCCATGGAGATCCGTGCCGATGCAGAAACCAGTTCTTTTTCTTCTAGGTTTTGTACTTGATTAGTTACCTTATGCATTTTCTTGATTCGTTAGAATGTGTGATTTCCGATTAAGGGAATTGTATGGTGATGTTGTTTTGAAGCAGTTTGTTTGCGGCGGTTTCTTATGGATTTGCTTCAATGGCGATGGTTTTTATCAATAAAGCTGTTCTTATGCAGTATACGTATTCAATGACTTTACTCACTTTGCAGGTATTCTTTCCATCTTTTGCATTTGCGTTGATGCTACTAATTTTGTATATGTATAATGCATGTGTTCAATTTTGACTTCTATTTCCTAATACAGCTTAATTATGAGTATTTCTAGAAAAGAAAAATAAGTAGCTAGTTTAAAACAAAAATAAAATGTATCTACAAGTTTAAATTGAGACTTAGTGTATGTTTTGGTTTCACGCTTGGTTGGATTGCTCTCGGCGTTTAAAATTTATTTTGATATGTTTGGTTGCTTCGGAGTAGAATTGATTCTGCTCGAAGGCCAATAAAGTATGCATCATCGTATCCGATACACCTCCAATACGTATCAAAGGAGTATCCGAATTTTTATATTTAAAAAAAAAAAATTCTCATACATCATTATACGGCAGCGACACACTTATATTTAGGAGTTAACTTTTAACTTTTGAAAATGCTTATAATTAGAGCCGGATGTAGTAGCAAGAAATATACTTCATCAAATCTCAAAAATTTCAGTAAAAAGGTGTATTTGACATCAAATAGATGTATTTCTTTTTTGTTTACATTGAAGGCTAGAGGGAGTATCTAATAATTTTTTTTGTCTGTGTTGAAAGCAGGCTTATATTTTGTGTGAGATATACTATTGTTTTATATCATTCATTTATTGCTTTTTTTGTCTTTCATAGCAACTATTTACTACTCTGCTTATACACTTTGGTCGAAAAATGGGATACACAAGAGCCAGAGGAGTGGATATGGAAACGGCCAAGCAGCTGTTCCCGGTTTCATTTTTCTATAATGCCAATGTTGCATTTGCTTTGGCCAGTTTGAAAGGAGTCAATATCCCAATGTATATTGCAATAAAGAGGCTTACACCACTTGCTGTACTTATTGCTGGATGTTTCATGGGGAAGGGGAGACCTACAACTCAGGTATCGGTGTCTATCATTTTCTTAATTTAGTTTGTTATTGTCAAGTTTAATCTTTTGGTTAAACTGTTGTCAACAAAGACCAAAGAGGGTTATCAGAGAGAGTATGTGTGGCTTTTAAAGAAGAAGAATTACATTTGGTAAAAGGGTTTTGTTGATGTTATACAGAGGGCGTTTAAGCTGGTCATATAGAACAGGCTAAGACTCTTGGTAGCATTTTCTTATTTCACTCTCTTAAGCTTGACAAAAAAGCTTGACAAAAAAGCTTTTGATGATTGATTTGTTGTTATTTGCCTTTATCTTTATCAGTTCCTGGTAGAACAACCATTGAAAATTCATTCTAAACTACAAATTGTATTTATTTTATGGGCTTTAGTTTTGATTTCACTACCAATTTTTGAAAAGTTTACATTAAACAGAAATGACATTCCTTTTTGTCAAAATTATCAGGTGACTCTCTCAGTGATATTGACTGCTGCTGGAGTTCTAATAGCAGCCCTTGGAGATTTTTCCTTTGACCTTTTTGGGTATAGCTTGGCTTTCATTTCTGTTTTCTTCCAGGTGATACACTGATCTTTTGTTGTCCATAAATCTTTAAATAGAGTGATGTACACTGTAATTGTGCATGCTTTTCTAATAGTGTTGCCTACTCTCCTATGCAGACGATGTACCTTGTACTAGTGGAAAAATCTGGTGCTGAGAAAGGACTTTCATCAGTGGAAATCATGTTCTACAACAGTTTTTTATCTCTTCCATTTTTGATGTTTCTTATTATAGCTACAGGGGAATTCCCATATTCTTTATCTGTATTATTTGCAAAGGTCAGACTCTTTTCTTGGTATTGAAATTGATTCACAGTTAAGTGGTAATAAATCCAAGACTGTATAAACTTTGCCTTGATGGTTGACATTTGAGACCATAAATTGCAACATACTATCCGATTATGTGACAAGGCTGTGCCATTTATTATTTTGGTGATATGTTGATGTGAAAGTTAATATCTAACTTATTTTTTTGTTTACCTCCGCAGAGTTATTCTTTTACATTTTTGATGATCCTTATTCTTTCATTGGTGATGGGCATTGTTCTCAACTTCACCATGTTCTTGTGCACTATTGTTAATTCTGCTTTAACTACAACTATTGTGGGCGTTCTTAAAGGAGTTGGTTCCACGGTAAGCTTACTAAGCTAGGAGCGAACCTGTTTGCCTTAGAATTTTCTGTCACAGCTCAAAAACTTGAATTTTATTATTTGTTAAGCCAGGGAATTGTTGTCCCTGGCACCTAATGTTGATACACAGATATTATTTGTCCATCTTTTGGTTGTATTTTATGTGACTAATTACTTGAAATACACACACTAAGTCTGTTTCTTATTGTTTCTTCAGACCTTTGGTTTCTTCTTACTGGGTGGTGTTCAAGTCCATGCTTTAAATGTGACTGGATTGGTTATCAATACAGCTGGTGGTGTGTGGTATTCATATGCTAAGTATCAGCAGAAAAAAAGTAAGACAGTGAAGCTAGTTACAGATGTGGAGGCTCATCGTAAATAGTGGCGTTGATGACTTACAGTGAAAATTAACAGTTGCATAAATGTTTCTTTTTCTTTAAATTGATTTTCTAGGCGTGTGATTGTAGTTGTAATTCTCTCTTTCTCTAACCGTCTCCCGTCATTTTACAGTAATCACAGAATCTCACACACATGTCGAAAAGGTATTTTCACATTAGGAGAACAATTTTCTTACAGTATGAATCTATTGGAAAGATATTAAACATGTTTTGAGTCAATTATAAAGTGGCGTGGATTGGTTCAAACACGGACTATGATTTGAGTGGAACTAGACAAATGTGCATATGTCATGGTGATCATACCACAAAGTCTGGCCCAATATTTAGTGGATTTGGAAACTCAACTTTTCAAAGTAAGAATATGGGGTTGACACTACAATTCAGGCTTCTATAATTCAATGGTGAAAACGCATTGAAACGGAAGAAAGAAGTGAACGTGCTTACCAACTATCTCTTAAACTTCATTGTAGTTGCTTTAATTTCGGTATCTTTGCTGTTTTGCTTATGCTAGCTTAATTAAAGATAGATGAAACATTTTAGTGAAGTAATTTAATTTTTATTTAAATCTTACCTTTTTATGTTGGTCAACTGAGATAAAATAGAGAAATAAGGGAATAAATAGTTGTAAATAAAATAAATAAGACGTTACTAAATTTTTTAGGAGAGACGAAATAGTAATTATTTATGAGATTAAAGGTAGTTGGACTCCTAAGAGGTTACTAAATTTCCCAGGTCGTTCCACAGGAAGTGGAAGAGAAGTTGGAATTCTAAGAGGTGGTGTTTGGACTGTTCTTGCTTTTGGAGGATGATTGGTGTTCGGTAGGCAGGCGGTTGACGGTGCTATATATGTAGCTGTTAAAGCGGCTTCCTGCAGTGGTAGAAATAGAACGAATAGCTTTAGATTTAGTTATTTTCAAAGGATCGAGAAAGTTAGAAATAAGAAAAATTGGAGATCTATTAGGGGTGTTCGTGGTCCGGTTTGGATCGGTTTTGAGATAAAATATCATCCGATCCAAAAATATATAAATAATTACTTCGGTTCGGTTTTTGGATGACAACAAGAAAAATCCAATCTAATTTATACGGTTTACTTCGGTTCGATTGAATCGGTTTTATTCGGTTTTTAAACTAACACTATTTAGAAATTTAAAAAGAATATATTTCAATACCAGTTACAATTATGCCACCAACGTCTACTGAGACAATATCTAATTGCTATGTTCATATGGCTATTTGATGTCATTATTGCAAAGTTTCATTATAATATACGTATAATATCTATCCCAACGAAATAGACATGACTATAATATATAATATATATGGAGATATGCTTAGTTCTTATATGGAGATTTGTATTATAAATTAAATATATGACAAATATATAAAACAGTGAATAAATGAAGATTTCAAAGCTATATTAAAGCGAATATAATAATAAAACTTCAAGAAAAATATCAATAACAGTGGACATGCGAAAGTTGATCACAAGGAATATATAATAATAATATGAATGATTGAGATTCTTTAGAGAAATTAGTGCTGGCTAACATAATTAATTTGAGAGGATGGCTATAAATGATTCGATATTAATTTATTTTAAATAATAAATGGCAAGTAAATGGAAGTAATACCGGTTCGGTTTGGATCGGTTCGATTCTCATGAAGCCAACCGTAAACCGAACCGAACCGGTCGGTTATGCTACATGGTGATTCAAATACATCCAAAAAAATTCGTTTTTTTTTTTATTTCGGTTTTTTCGGTTTGGTTTTTGGATTTTTTTTGGATCGGATTGGATCTGAACACCTCTAAGATCTACTATTCCGTCTTTGATTTGTTGGGTCTCTTGTTTAGAGGTTAAAAGAGCTCCACAATAGAAAATTGATCGTGAAGATGGAGAATCGTACAGTACACAAAAATCAGAAGTCGATTTTTATATATGGCAGCACTGTTCCATTTGAGAACTAAAAATATGAAGAGTCACGGAAGTTGTGGTAGAGGAGAGCTAAAAATATAAAGAGTTGCGGAAATTGTGATAGAGGAGAGCTTTTGATACGACAGAACGGTCATATTTTAAATTTTTTATATTAATATTAACGGGTAGTTTATTATAGCTAGTCATCTTTTATTTATTAATTATTGCTGGTGTCATTATCGTTTTTTGGTTTTTACTAAACTTAAATTTACATAAATTTTTAACTCTAAATTATTGTTAAGGGGGTGTATGTTTATTTATTTCACTATAAAGAGGGTGTGAGTTTCATAAAATTTGAATTAAATTGAATGGTCTATTAAATCTTTTTGGAGGTCCATTAAATTTATTGAGGACGGTCAGAGCCAACTTCTGACTTTTATTATTCAATTATTTTTATTTATTTAATTATTTTTTATTATTCAAAAAAGTTGACCGAAGTCAACATTTAACTTTCTCATAAATTATTGTATATTGCATAATAATAATAATAATAATAATAATAATAATAATAATAATAATAATAATAATAATAATAATAATTTATTAATTTTGTTGACTAAAGTCAACTAGGGTAGAAAAACTCAGTCTTTTATCGTGCTCTTTTTTTTTTTGGGATCTCTTATTCCTTAAGATTAACAGAAAGGCTCAAAATTTCTTTATTTGCGAATCAAATTTGAAACAAATTTAGTTTGAGGTTTTGTATTTGATTTACTAGTGAATTTATAACAGGAAGAGGTCTAGATATGTACAAATCACAAAACTTAATTCTAAGATTACAAACGAAATCAAATCTAAATCTAACCTGATTGAATTTATCAAAAATTTATAACTGCAAATCACTTAAAAGTTTTCCTAAACCATCTAAATCCTAAAGCTATAAATTGAACCCTAAGACTAATGAAAAAAGACCGAAAAATTGAAAGAAGAAAAGTAGGAGAAAAAGACAAATTCCGAGACCCTATTGCTTGAATCGTTGGCCGCGAATCCACTCCTAACATCAAAGCTTTTTTCGGATCTGGGTTCCAGAACTGAAACCCTAGATCTTTTAAACCCTTGTTGTGCCATCCTTTCAGCTCCTTGTACCTGCGATTAGAGAAGAAGAAGATTAATGAAGGAATATGAGAAATCAAAAGGGGAAGAACTTGAAGATTCACGGCCGTAGAGGTAATCCGATGGAACACTAAGCTTAAGGCTTGTTACTATGATTCTTATTGCGATTTGGGGGTTGGATTTAGGGTTGAAGTTGTTTATGGTTGTCGTCTTTTATGGTTGTTATGGGTTAGGGATTTATTTTGGAGGGTTTGGTGGTGGTCGGGTAGATTGGGAGGCGGAGAGAGATAGGAGAAAGATAGGGAGTTTAAGAAGAAGAGAGAGAAAGCTTGGTGAAAATGAAAAGAAAATGAGAAGAAAATCGTGATATACTCTCCCTCTGTTTCGTTAGATTCGCAACATGTGGTCATTAACTGGCCATGTGATGGAACTATTTCACATGATTCCATTCGCTCTAGTACACCATACCCTCAATAAACCTCTCATATTGTCCCTCTGTTCTTTATACTTTGAATCAACGCTCCAAAGCCATCTTTTGGTAGCCTTTTAATTCAGATCGAACGCTTATCCTCGCGACTAGTGCACCATAACGCCTTAAGCCAGTCACACTAGATTAAACGAATCTCATCATTTTTTATGGGCCTAAGCCCGTCTCTACTCTCACCCCTAGTTTTTTTCTATACTTTTTTAACTACAATTTGCACCCCCTGACCATTCAGGCTCCTATGCTAGATCATGGGCTTAAACCCAACGCTAATAGCACCCCCAAGAATTACTACTAACTAAATATACACCCCGTGCTTTTGTTTTAAATTAAATAATTCATTTAATTAATTAATTTAATTTATTTGTTTATATGTTTATTTGTTTTTATATTATTATATTATATATTTATTATCTTTTTTTTTTCTCATGGCATTTTTTATCATAATTGCATTAAACTTTTTTGCATATTGATAAATAAATATTAGATTGTTATTGAAAATATCAAATATATTTTTAGTAATAAGAAAATATCTATTTATTAAATATTTTCTTTCTATTTATCAAATATTTTTATCATTTAAAACTCTTTTTTTACCCATGGCATCATAAATTCAATTTGTTAACACTTTTTTACTAATTTAATTTCAAATTCAATTTGTTTTCAAAAAGGATTGTGGAGATATTATTCATTAACTGTGAACCGCGTCTACGGCTACGCTAATTTCAAACTCAGACAAGGTTCAAGGAGAATTCAAAATATTTTCCACAATCCATAAAAAAAAACTAACCAAACACTTTTGAACTACAAATTGGGACTCTGATTCCTCATTAGAGGATACGTAGGCACACGACTTAAAAACCAAGGTGAGTCCCCTAACTAAAAAACTAAAACCCTTTTTTTTTTCTACGCTTTGCAATTATATACTTTTAAAGTAGAAATTCCTATCTTACCCTTAGGCCTAAAAGCAGAGCCCCTTGAGAACAAGGGAGATGAATGGTGCTTAATACCTTCATTTCGTCTAATTGACTTACGAACTTAGAATCTCTAACAATTAGGGTTATCCGTTATTCCTCCGTCCTTAGAACAAAAATTAATGGTGGCGACTCTTTATTTTTTTGTCGGTTATGACAATTGACAACTCTGCTGGGGAACTACCCTATGGTTAGAGTTATCCCTTAATCTTAGGTCTAGAATTTTGTGGGTTCTTTCTATTTATGGTATGTTTTTTTCCCATATTTATTTATTGGTTTATTATTTATCTATTTGTTTATCACTTTGTTATCATATTCATTATCATATTGTTGTTGGTGGGATTTAATTTCAATAATATCAAACCTTAGAAAGAAGGATCGTCTATTGGTCAAGGGGGGTAAACACCCCTATGAGTTTTTGTGACGAATTCTCCTAGAGTCGGTAGAATTCCAAAAAAGGAATATCTCTCAAGGGGCTAGACTCTTTGGGGGATAAGACTTTGGAACAAAACCTATGACTCTTTGTATAACCCTACAACAAAATCTCATGGTGAGACCTTGTACGACCTAGGAGACGAAAGTTTCGATCTACCAAGAGGTCTGCCTAAGGAAGACCCTTGTGTCTTTACCCTTTGGTGTTATCCATGATACCCTTAAGGAAACCACCTTGTAGAAAGGTAGAATATCCGTAGACCGAAACTAGGAACCTACCAACTAAAGATACCTTTCACAAAATCCCACCACCATGTTACATCACTATGCATACATACATAATTGCATTTTAAAATATTCATTATTTTTGCATTTTTATTTTGCCTTATTCACAGGATTTCTAAAAGAAAATGTATAAAAAAGGAAAAAACAAAAGGAAATTCGACGTGAATAAGACATAAATTAAAATCTTAGCATATTCATACGCATTCATGCATCCACAAGCATCACATTTAGCAATTTCATACAGAAAACTCATCATTTTAAAAAAAAATCATCTCCAGTTAAATCATTGGTAAACGAGAACCGTCTCTACGACCTTCATATCAAACTAAAGCTCATCAAAAGAAAGTGATGGAACAGATCAAACAAAATCAAGTCGTCTTCCAAGAATATTTGGAGCAAGTGAAGGGTAGAATTGACTCGATGAAAGGAGACATGAGTCAAGTTCTTCTAGCCTTGAAGAACATCATTGAAAGACGAGATCAAGTTCCTAAGGTAGCCTTTGAAGAAGTAGGCCAGACTATTGGTGCATTGAGCGGTCACCAACCAAGACAAGAACCATAATCAACTCTTTTAAAGTTAACCATGGCTCAAAAAGAGGTCAAGCAAGATGATACTGAAGGCTTTGTCCCACCTCCTCCGAAGTTAGGGACATCTCACACTCTGCAGATCTCAGTCAACAATCCGCACAATGTTGATAACTATATAAACATGCAGTATGGAGACCATGACCTAGATGGCATCAATCAAGGGCCTCAAAGAACTGCCCATACTAACATTGCTGAAAGTACTATGGCACTCAATCAGTTTAAATATCTTGAAGAAAGGTTGAAGGTAGTTGAGGGCTACGATGTCGTTGATGCTCTCGAAATGGGTCTAGTTCCAGATGTTGTAATCCCTAAAAAATTCAAAGTACCTGAATTTGGAAAATATAAGGGACTCACATGCCCAAGGAACCATCTACGCATGTACTACCGGAAAATGCATGCCTATGTTCAAGATCAAAAGTTTATGATCCATTGTTTCCAAGACAGTTTGAGTGGGGCATCTCTAGATTGATATATGCAATTGGAGCGAGTCCATATCCAGACATGGGTAGATCTTTCCAACGCTTTCTTAAGACAATACAAGTACAACTTGGACATGGATCTTAACCGCATGCAACTCCAGAACTTATCTCAAAATAAAGACGAGTCCTTCAAAGAGTATGCTCAATGATGGAAAAAATGGCAGCTCATTTGCAACTACCACTCCTTGAGAAAGAATTGGCTGATATGTTCATAAGTACGCTACAAGGCCTATATTATGATAAAATGGTAGGTAACGTCTCTTCTGGATTTTCTGATTTGGTAACAATTGGAGAAAGAGTTGAAGCAGGTGTGAAAAATGGCAAGATCCAAGAGGTATCTTTCAGTACTCCTTATAACCCAAAGAAGCATACTCTGAACTTCTTGAAGAAAAGGGAAGGAGAAATTAACGTTGTTGCATCACACCTAAAGACTCAACAACCATTGGTAATCTCGAGAGAACAATAACATAATAGGTTTGAAAGGCCATCAAGAAGATTTGATCCTCCCCCTATGCCACAAAGTCAGCTATTACAACACTTGTTCAAGGCGTCCTTGGTAGAGCAGAAGCCACTAGCTCCTCCAATTCGGGCACTCCCGCCAAAATATGATGCAAATGCCAGGTGTGAATGTCATGACAACTCTCCAGGTCACACCAAAGAGAAGTGTTGGGCCTTCAGACATAAGGTTCAAGATTTTTTGGATTCCCAGGATATCACTTTTGACAAGCCTAATATCAATATGAACCCCATGCCTCCGCATGACCGACCAACTGTAAACGCGATCGAGGTAGTCACTAACTATGGGGAAGCTAAACAAGTAAAAGCTCTGATAGATCTCTTAAAGGAATATCTGTTTGAATATGGTTTTATTTTGGACACAATGATGATTTTAAGAAGACGTTACATAAATTGGTGGATCAAGGGATAGTCCAATTCGAGCGGCACCTTGAAGAAGAATATATAACTGAGATTAATGGAAATACGAAGAAGCCATGGGTAATTCCTTGCCAATAAAACTCTTGTAATTCCTCGAGGAGAGTCAAGTATGACAAAATCACCAGTAACGTTACCACGCTAGACTCTGAGGATACCAGTGATCCCGAAGACTATAATGGTGATTAGGGAACCATCTCCCACTCCTTATGAAAATGGAGAAGCCGTGCCGTGGAACTATGATATTACTGTCTATGTCAACAGATTAAAGCAAGAATGTGAATCATCAACTAGCCAAGGACATGCAATTACAAATATAGCGGGAACTGGGGGTATGACCCGCAATGGTCGAATATACGATCCTGAACAATAAAAGAAGGATGATATTGTGGTTAAGGATAAAGGAAAAGTTATGGTGGAGACAAGTCAAAAACAATAATCTCGGAGTAATAATTTTACCAACTAAGAGGAGGAAGAGTTCTTAAAAATAATCAAGACAAGTGATTATAGGGTGGTGGATCAGCTACACTAAACCTCGACCAAGATTTCAATACTCTCGTTGCTCATCAACTCAGAAGCGCACCGAGACTCTCTAATGAAGATTCTAAGTTCTTCCCATGTTACAAAGGAGATTACAATAAATCAATTTGATGGAGACATAACCAATCTAACGTCTGGATCACACTTAGGCTTCAATGACAGTGAGTTGCCTCCACAAGGTAGAGCTCACAACAAGGTGTTATATATATATCTATCCAGATAGGAACAACCAACCTATCCAAGGTTCTCACTGATACGGGTTCCACCCTCAGCGTACTACCAAAAATCAATTTGATGAAGCTAACACATAATAGTGTTGTCATAAGGCCAAGTTCTACGATAGTTAAAGCTTTCAATGTTTCTCAAAGTATAATGTTTGAATAAGTGGATCTTCCTGTCAAGATTGGCCCACACATGTTCTACATTACCTTTCACTTGATGGACATAGAACCAACATATACATGCTTGCTTGGGCGACCTTGGATTCATGCAAGAGGGGATGTTGCATCAATCTTGCATCAAAAATTGAAGTTCCTTGTTGAAGGAAAGTTGGTTGTGATCGACGGAGAGGAGGGCATCTTTGTAATCCACTTAGAGTTCTACAAATATATCAGTGTAGATGAAGACTGTGTGGTAACACGGTTCCAAACCCTAGAAGTTGTTTTCGTGCTAACCCTACTAGTGGAGAAAATCAAGAAGCCGGGAACTATTATGGCTTCATGGAGAGATTTACGA